AGAAGTGACTTGTGCACCATGGTGCTGACGTTTGAAGGCTGTTAAGAGCTATGGGAGGGTTTCAGGAGGGGATCACCATGGTCAAATTTGTGGTTGGGAAGCATCAGTCAGCATTGTGGGGACAGATTTCAAAGCAATAATATCAGAAACATGGAGACCAGTTAGGATCTCGTGTCACGTTATCTTTTAAGCACAGACAGATTGATTAAAGAAGCACTGGCACTCTTAAATGATTCCTAAATTTGGTAATGGTGCTGCTGTAATATTTTAGTATTTGTAAGTGTCTTAAATGGTCAACTCAGAGCTTCAGCTGGATTCCCCAGGGAAAGAGCAGCTGAGAGGGAGATCTGCCTGTAGAAGCTGCATTGGGAAGTACCCTCAGCATCAGTACCTATAGGGGAATAAAGGATGTAAGACCAGGTAGAGGGAAGAGTTGTGCAGTGATACAATCACACAGAGCCAGTGCATGGGGTGCTTAGGAGCTGGATGGCCATTAAAAGGAAGAGAGCTAGATCTTTATACCTCTGTGGCCAGTCATTGGATGCAGACTGTACCAAGGGATAGGGGAGACTCTTGTGCTGTGGACAATGCCTGGAGTGGGACTCAGCTGCAACAGTCTGGCAGCTGGGAGAATGAGTGCCTTGATCTTTGAGCACTCACTTGAATGCTCAAATGAAGTAAGGTATCCACTATCACTAAATATGTTGAAATTCTCCTGAGAGCATTCTTGTAATCATGCTCACAGAATAGCTCTCTTAGGCCTTTGCACTTGCTCTTTCTTCTGCCTGCAATATTCTTTCCCAAGCCCTTTTTGCATGGCTAGATTTTCTTGTCACTTGTTTACTTCTAATATCTTCACTGAAATGGCTCTTCTGATCACCCTGTGTAATCTGCCCCAAGCCCCAATAGTCACTGTCTAGGATGTCACCCTATTTTTTTCTTTTTAGCAGAAAAACATAAACACAAATCTCATGATCTGTTTCCCTTCCCCTAGAATGTGAACTCCAGCAGTTTTTTTCTATTTTGTTCACCGTTACATTCCCTGCACCCAGAACAGTGCTGGTCACATAATAGATGATCAGTCAGTCTTTGCCAAATGAATAAAAAAAAATTGAATTTAAGAAAATGGATATCAGGAGACGAGGAATTTTGCAAATGAGGGATCCTGAGGAATTCTTATCTTTCTTTTGCTTTTGACATTGGTGGAACTCAAGTCCAGGACAACAGTTTGTGACTCATCATTCTTCTACAGTTTTCAGTCACCCACGAAGAACTACTGGAGAGAGTATCTCTTGATCTTGTAAGATGGATAGGCCTCTGGCAAGAGCTTAGCTCTTAGATCTCACACTGAGCATCATTTTTTTTTTTTGCCTCTGGGAAGTTTGAGGGCTTTTATTATTCTAAAATAAAACTATCTTAGAGGAACATAAATTATCTATTAAAGAGACTTTTGGAATTTAGCATAGAAATCATGCGTGGAATTTGTGTGGAATTGACAAGCTACTCCTCTATAATCACCTAAACCATTTTCTTTCAAATAAAAACAAACTGAAAAATGTAGTAATTTTCAAGTGTAGAGGCAAAAAGGCACTTAGCACAGCTTGAAGATTCAAATTATTCTGGAAGCAATGCCTGCTGTACTTGGCTTTAATTTGAATTCATTTCTTAGAAACGGATTTAGTGACTAACCTCATGACAACTGCTGACTTCAGAACGGCCTGTGGAGGGCAAGGCATGAAGGGAAGAGCCCCTTTTGTCTCCTTTCTTTTGACTTCTGCCTGCTTCATTCCTGTCATTGTACCTTATATGGTGATCCTGTCCAGGAAGCACTTACTATGTTTGAGAAGAATGGAAGGAATCTTTGGAAGTCATTTATTCACATCCTTGTCACTAGCCAGTAATACATGGACATCAATAATATAAATTCACTCTTAGTTGTATTTAAATATTTAGATTCTTTACTAAAATGTTTGGTCTTCTGATTCAATTAAGAGTCCAGGGAAGAGACAGGGAAGTATTTGGGTAGTTATCAAACGCACAGAGAATACATAGGGCAGATCTACATTATGTTCAAGCAACAGAAAAAAGAGTAAAGAATTTCAGGGTAGAAGTGGGGCAATGTGTATGCAGATTTGACTTTATTAGAGGCATTCCTAGTTGATAATTAGAGGGACTCAAGATAGAAATGGAATGTTTCTGGATATGGTGTATGCTTAGTTGTCTAGGTGTTGTAAGAGATTGTGGATAGCTTTTGCAGAGGAGATTCCTGAAGGAATTCAAGAAACAGAAGCAAAATGATCTTTAAGGGTCCTTGCAGTATTAAAAATCTGTAAGCACAGAGAGAGTGGCTTTCTATGATTTTGTGCCACTGGGTAGTTGTTTGTTGCCATGAATTTTTTTATATATATATAAAAAAATATAAATTTATATATTTTATATATATTTATATATATATTTATAATTCACTTTTACATGTCAACTCCTGCTCTTAAAATTACAGTGGCTCACTATGTTAGCAAGCACTAATTTTAATCCTCCATTCCAGGCTTTTTATGACAGAACCACATCTTTCTGGGCTAGTATTCCAGTATACCCTATATTTAACCCAGTAAGTCTGGAATTCTCATTGTCCCTCTCCTGCTTAATGACTTTATAACTCTGCATCTTTGTTTCTCACTGTTCTTAAAACCTGGAAGTCCCTTTCTTGCCCTATAAGATGATCACACTTTTGCTTTTCCCTTACCACTCATTTCCAATATTACCTCGTTCATGTAATCTGTATCTTAGCATTTCTTCTTTTAGCCATCCTTTGGTTGAATTAGTACATATTATTGAGCTTCTACAGGGTACCTTGCAAGATGCTAGGCTATGAGGATAGAAAGGAAGCAAAGAAGATACTGTCCTTGTCCTCATGGATCTTACAGTGCAGTTGGAACAGGATAGAATTAGGAGATAGATGTTACATAAACAATCACACAATAAATAGTTATAAGTTGTGATGGGTATTATGAAAGATGAGTGTGAAGTTTTTTTTCTTAATTGATGTATAGTGGATTTATAATGTGTTAGTTTCAGGTGTACAGCATAGTGATTCAGGTATGCACATACACATATATATCTTTATATATATATATATATATATATATATTCTTTAGGAGTGTGAAGTTTTATGAGAGGAACTGATTGTGGCTGGGAAGTCAATGAATGTTTCCATAAAAAAGTGATAATTGGGCTGTGAATAGAGGGTGAGGTGGGGGCAGAGCATTCTTGATAAAGAGAAAAACAAGTGGAAATGCCAGGAGGAGTAAAGACTAACGAATATTCAAGGAATTGAAGGAAGGCCCAAGTAGCAGAAAGCAAAGAGTGGAACAGTGGTAGATGCTGGGTCTAGAGAGTTAGGCAGGGGCTACATCAAATAAGGCCTTACAGTCCCTGGGCTACACCAAACAAGAGTCTTGTAGTCCAGTGTAAGGAATTTGGGCTTTACCAGAAGGGTTTTGATAAGTTTCTGGAGTGGTTTGAGTTGGAGAACTTATGGTTAGATTTGTGTTTTTACAAGGTCACTCCAGTTGCAGCATGCAGAATACATCGGGCAGGTCCAGAATGGAAGCAGTGAGAGAATTCAGGAGGCAGTTGCAATTCGTACATATGGGATATGATGGTGGCTTGAACTCAGGTGATGCCAATGATGGAAAAAATGAGAAATATTTAGGAGGCAAAATTGGCAGGACTTGCTGATGGACTTTATCAGATGTGGCTGAGGAGGGAGGAGGAAGAATTGGAAGATTTTTGAGTTTCTAGCTTGTTCAATTGGAACGGAAATCTTAGTACTTACTGAGATGGGGAACAATTTTCTGTTCTTTTAGGACAGTAAAGAATAACACAAAGTAGGGAGTGCTGTTTTGCAGTTGTTTTAGCTGACTCCACTAAAATAAGAGCTTGATAAGGGAGGGAGTATATGTTAATTATCTGTGTTTTTGCTGTCTCTCCCCCCTTGTCCCCAAAGTATTCAGCCTGTTGTTTATACCAGTGGGAGAGAAATAATACTTGACCTTGATTTGGAGAAATGGATTGTGACTGTGAGTTTGGACTTTTTTTTTTCATGGTGGTTTAGGAAAGATTTTTACTTCCGTTTTTACTTCTAATCAAGTTGTATGAAGACCAAATGAGATAACAATGTAAAACATTTGGGGGAGAAAAGTCTCTTAAAAATTTATTTAATCATTATAATGCATATGCTTTCTTCCGCACTCATGTTAAATTCCACACATTTATTTGTAAAAAGGAGAACTAGATAAGACATAGTAGCTTAGGGTCTAATCAGTGCCAGATAAAATGAGATGGATTAGTTTTTGCCACACACGTCACTCCATGGGAGTTCTGCTGGGCCACTTTGAGATATTACCCCACATGTGTTTGGGGAAATGTCTTCCCTACTTAGTATACTGCTTAATATTCTCATTGAAACATAATCAGGCACTAAGTATAAGAAATCAATAAATGTCAAGGTTAATTAGTTCTTTAAAGTGTACATGATTCATTAAGAAGAGCTCCATGAAGTTCAATAAAACAAATAATATAGGACACTTTAAAAGGTAAACAAAAGGTATTTTTGGTTCATATATTCCAAATAATTTAAGACTCCTAAAACAATGAAGTCCATCACCTCATCAGTGTGAAGGATTCTTAAATACTTGCTAGTTCTTTCCTATGTGATTAAAAATGGATTTTATTTGTTTTTTTTGGAGTAAATTTATTATTTAGAAAATATCAATAATGAAGGACAGTCATTCCCACATTGATCTTTATTTATTTCTTCATGTTACAACTCTACCAGTGAGTAGAAAATATTATATATAAATCCCTTTTTTTTTTTTTTTTGTACAGATCCTGCCCCAGGTTTATTGGTCCAAACAGCACAGGTAGACATGAGCCCCATGCAGACAGCAGCCCAGGGGTCACACTAGTCCTTATATCCTCACATCAATAGATGAAAGCCTCTACTCTGGAGCCTTTGTGGGGGACTGGGAGCCTTTGGGAGCCTGAGCCAGAGCCGGAGCCAAAGCTGAAGCTGAAGCTGAAGCTGCGGCCTTGGTCTGAGCCTTGTCCTTGGCCTTTGGCCGACAGAGCCTGAGACCCTTGGTGATGCCGGCTCGAGTGCATTTCCCGAGTTTGGGGTGAGCAATGTAGGCAAGTCGACTGAGCTCCTGGCTGCTGCCCTTTGGAATCTTGGGCTTGACCTCCTTGGGCTTTACGAGAGCCTTGACAGCCTCAGCATGTGCACTCATGGCCTTGGCGTTGCTGGCCTGCGTCTTCTTCAGGCCCTTCTTGTGCTTCTTGGTAAAGCACATGTTCCTCAGGAACTTGGGTTCACTCCCTTAAGAGATTTGTATAGTTGTGATCAGGGTTTTTTGATGCCGTTTACTGTGCCATTTTCGGGACTGGTTGTATATGTTGTGGTTCTTCGACTAGGCCATGCCTGCACCGGAGCCGGGAGAACCCGAATCCTCCAAATCCATTTGTGATAAACTACCCTGAAGTTCATTTTCACCTTTGAAGTGAATATAAATTGTATCTAATGAAACTCTAGAAGCAATTGTACAGAGTGAAAAGGCCAAATAATTTGGAATCAGATTTGTCAAGTAACATTTTACAAAAATGATATTTTCTTTTTTCATTCTTCATTGTACTCATAATTCAAAACTGAGCCCAAATGTTACATCCTTTGTCCCAGTTTCTCTTTTCTTCTCTGCATGGCAGAATTAGACTTTCTATTCTGAACTGAAATAGCCCCTTCTCCTTTCCTCTAAACCATAACTTACAGGTCGATATTGTAAATTATGGTTTCCTGGAAGGAAACTATTTTTGAACAAAACAAAGATCCTGCCCTTGTGGAACTTACATTTTTTGGCAGATAGGCAAAAAATAGTAAGTTGAATAAATGAAGTCATATAGTGTGTTAGAAGGTGACAAATGCTTTGGAAAAATAAAAGGTAGAGCAAGGTAAAGGAGATCAGGAGTATGTAGGGGGGCTTATTGTACGCTTACCTTACAAGAATTTGAGAGGGCTTTTTTGCAGTCAGATGAGATAGTGTGAAATCTTTGCCAGCCATAACCGGTATCCAAATGTGTGCTTACTACACACACTCAAATTTCTCATGTCTAGTCTTCATCACTAGTCCTTTTCTAGCTTCCTTGTCACTGGACCAGGCTAACACACTGATGTAGATTCTAGGCCCTAAAGTTATCTTCCTTCCCAATTACTGTTTCCTACACTATACTGTCTGGTTCCCCTGGCTTTAAGACAGAGAAACAGTTTTTAATTCTCTGCTTGACTTTCTCTCTCTATATATTTTTTGGAGTCTCAGCTGTCCAGATTTTATTTTTAAAATGGAGTTGAATCTGATTGATAATTCTGTTTTCTCAGGGCTGCCCTGTTCTTGACATCACATAATCCAATACTACGTAGCTCCCTAAGAGTTTAACTTTTTTTTAATTGAAGTGTAGTTGATTTACAGTAATTTTTAAGCTCCTATGCCAAGTGTTAGGCTTGGGGCTTGGGTCACCTTATCCAACTAGAACCTGTGTCATGCCAGCAGAGTGATTTTTTTTTTGGTCTGCCACTTTCTACTCATGGGCAGCCACCCATCCCCTCATAGGACCTCTCTGCCTTGCGCTCATCTTCGTGGATACACTTTGAGATGCCATCAGCTTTCTCTTAACTTTCAGCTTTCTTTCTCTTTATGTTCCAATAGGGCCTCACTACTGCAGGAGAACTTAGTGGCATATCTCCTCCTATCCTGACCTAAACTGACTGTTACTTCCCAGGAAGTAAGGAATGCTTATCCCTTTTTTTCTCCCCCGCTTGAAATGCTTCACCCTACTCTCATTTATTCTTTTAAGGCATAGTTCAAAAGTCCCTTGTTTTGAGATTCTATGACCAGCTCTATCCTACTTTAATCACTCTATCATTTGTCTCTCCAGTCTTTTATGTAAAGACTGAATATTACCTTACATATGCTTGTGTATTGCTTTGTAGCCGTTTTTTGCTGTCACTCTTATCTTCTTTTCAATGTGGCTTTAATTATGATTATCTCCTCCCTTTTTCCTACTGCTTCAGGCCTAAAACACATTGTTCCTTTGGAGCTCCCACCATTCCTGTCCTCCAGGCAGTAGGCTGGTTCTACTGGCCTCGCAATGATTCTAAATTCATTCCTTCCTTTGTATCAGCCTGGTATACTCTATTCACCTGAACGTGTAGGTTCTGCCCTTCCTTTTAGGCCCACGGATATCTCATTCATCCAACCTGGAAGCCTTCTTTGATTTGAACTTGCTGTTTGAACTTGGGAGCCAAAGGGCTGCTTTTTCTCTTGTTCTCTCTTCCTCACTGATCTTTCCTTTGAACTTCTGCCTAGACTGAAAAAAAAGCACTTAATTATATACTGCTATATATTGTTGACTAGTGTCTCAGTTGTTGTTTGCGTCTCAATTACCTTGTTAGCTTCTTAAATTATAGCACATCTGCTTTCTCTGCAAAAGCCACCATTCCCCTAACTGATACCCAGAGTCTATGTCCCTGCTTATATATGAGGGTCAATATTGGAATTGTTCTGGGAAGTAAGTTATATTGTGAAATTGGAATCTGCTGTCATCCTCTTTGGTTGTGGGCATTGGAGTGGGTCTTAGGATTATCAGTCAGACTTAGTTCATTTATTCATTCAACAAATATGTATGGAAGGATAAGTCTTAGGTCCTTGAGATAAAGTGATGAATACATAGGTAAATGAAACAATTTAAGGGACTTATGTGCTGTCAAGAAGCTATAACAGGATCACATGCTAGAGAGTGACTAGAGGGCAAGAGATGCTTCTTTGGCTGGGTTGGAGAAGACCCTTCTGGGGAAATGACATTTGAGTTGAGATTGCTAAGAAAGAGGAGGCAGCCATGTTAAGATCAGGAAGTGTCTGAAGTATTAACAACTAAAAGAATTCCAGAGATCAGAATGCTTGGCAAGTTTGAGGGAAAGAAAAAAAGACGATAGAGAGTAAGGACTAAGGAAAAATGTAGAGAGAAAGAAAATAAGCTATGTAGGGCTTCAGGGAAATTTATTCTGTGATGGGAGAAACCAAAGGGGAAATTTTTAGCTGTAAGTGATGTGGTCTGATTTATGCTTTAGAAAGCTCACTCTGACTGCTATGAGGAGGTA